ATGATGCTGTAAATGACATTATTGTTGAAAACGTTGGAAATAATGTTGCATTAAGGGAAACACACAAGAATGCGCTTCACGTCGAGGCCTCGTGATGCTGTGGTAACATTAGGACACTACGATGCTTTCGTCCAATGCGACTTACGTTGCATTTTTAACCCATGGTTTTCACGGGGAGCAGTTAGGGGTTGACTGTCTTGCTCAGGGACACTTTGACGTGGCGAACGTTCGACTGCAGTATCTTATGCGCCTCATAATCCGGTGCGCCTTATATATGAAAAATGTTCTAAAATAGGTCATTCATTGAAGGTGCGCCTCGTAGTGCGGAAAATACGGTACCGTAATCTCGTCCCGCGTGCGTCCTCGCACCTGACAACTAGCAGTCATTTACAAAATAAACGTGCCGCCGAAGACGTGTGACATCATTTAATGATCATAATAATGTGGCACAGTGTTTTTGTCAGATCCTAATTCACATTTAGCACCTCAAAGCCTGAGGCTCAGTGTGAGTTTTGGGGATGATTAATTGGGAGAGTGCTCACAAGGAGGTGTCACTTATTATCTCATGATGCCACTGTTTTATGTGTCAACGTTAGCGCTGTTACCCGCCAACAAGGAATACCACGTAAATAAGCATTAGTTGGATTCTATGCAGCGGAAGTTGTTGTTCTTAAATAGTTCTCCATATTCTCAGTAATGTGAAAGGATATATTTGACTACCTGAGTCTGAAGTCTGTGTCTGCCATCACACATTTGCTCCTTTCCTCTGCGATCCGTGACTCATGTGATTCGTCCCAAAACAGCTGTCAATCATCCTAAATTATGTCCAACGGATGTAAAGTGGCGCTTTGCTTGCAAACAAAGCTCAGCTGGCAATGAAGTCTTAATGATCTGAAGTTACAGTGCATTTTAAGGGGTGCAGGTTGAATTCAAGTTGGGTATTTGTCATTCATACAGAGTTTTGTTTGGTTGCAAACACAATTTGTTTTCCCTTTTAAACCCTTTATTAAAGCAGCCAAGACTCGGGGCCATGTTTGGTACAAAGCAGCGATTCAGTGTAACAATTTACCCGTGATTAAAACGTTAAGTAACACTGATTGTCACGTAGTCGATTCCAGAATCAGTAGAGAATCATTTCATCCCAATTAAAGAGGCTGTGGGTTTTGAATCTCGTGCCAAAAAAAACAACTAACCCTAATCACAAACAGCTTAGATCCTCTTTATGACCTCGTAACCTAAAAATCACAGACTTTTCTCATATGGAGGCATCCGTGTCGATACTAAGAATGTTCCATATCGAGTCCAATAACATCCAACTAATGCTTATTTACTCAATAATCCTCGTTGTCTTTACGCCGTTACTCTCCAGTGTGGCCGTGTGGACGTTGACACATGAAACAGTGGCATTATAAGATAATAAGCAGCGTCCTGTTCTCACGCATAAGTAATTGTCACCGAATTCACACTGCGCCTCGGGGCTTTGAGTTATTATTTTTAAACGCAAATTAGATTCGACAAAGAGGCTGCGCAGCATCATTGGCCGGCGTTGACACGGGAACGGGAGTCATCAGGGTGCCTCATTGGATCTGAACAGCTGTGACTGATTTTGCAGATTCGACGCTCAGCCGCGCTGTTTGACTCCCGCGTCTTCCCCCCGAGGCCGGATGAGCTCAGTGCAGCAAACAAAACAATAAAAAGAGGACTTATGGGGCTGTTTAAGGGCCCTCCTGCGCTTCCGTATCCCAGCGTTGTTAACCTACGAACACAAGATGATAACAACACGGCAGCCTTGATGTTGAGCTAAATGACAAATGAGTGTTTGCAGCTGCGACTTCACGGCTTCACAAGTCGTTGGAACGCGTCTACGAGATTCATCAACTCGATGCTGTTCTTGGATTTTTCATCTTTTGGAACGTTTCATGTAGCTTTTAAAAGGGAATCGTTGCACGTTTTACTCCACCATGACGGCATAAGATCAAATGAGATTCCCCACAGCCAATATGTCAGAACAGTGAAATGCAACATGCATTCAAGAATCAGTGATGAAATAATCATTTATAACAGTGTAGCACCTCATTGAGTCCTTCAAGAGTTGATGTTCTGTGCAATGTAAGAACATTCTGCTAAAACTACTTTCATTTAAGTTTTACTTCTACGTCCTCGATCTTTCATGAGGCTCCTACAAACAGACCTGAAGTCTGAAAGCATTGCGAGACGGACTAACAAGTAATTGGTTTTGGTCGGTTCATGGGTCTCGCTGCAAACAGCACCGTGTGATGAAAGTAACGATTTCTATGGAGAAAACGGACAGAGGGAACCAGGCGTTGACGAGAGGCTTTTCGCACTTCTCTGTGTCCGGGCTGTTTGGCTGGAGATCCAGACGAGGATCGTGACTGAGACCTTCTCCACCGTTGCGTGTGAGCGCCACGCTGCCACGTGTGATTGGCTGAAGCCAACAGACGGGATAGTTGGTCAAACACCGGCTCAACAAACCCGACGGGAACGACATCTGCGGATGATATTGGGACTATATAATGTCTCCTGATGAAATCACAGCTTAATCATTTATATGCAGCCGTGAAAGTTGGGAGTGCTGTTATGTATTCGTGGTTCAGAGTGAAAGAGGTTTTTGCTTTCAAAAGGCCAACACATATATTTATATTTGACTTTTTTTCCGTGAAGGGCTCCGGCAACAAGTAGCTCTTTGGGATGATGATGGCTCGGCCGTATTTTCCCTCCGCCGCGGTCTGATGTCTGGCAGAAGATTGGAGGCACCCAGGTGTGGCAGCGTCACAGAACTCTGAGGGCCCTTCATCTCTCTTCAAATTGGCTGGAATTGATGAGGACGGAGGAAACCTCATCTGCTTTTCAGGAGAGCTTTGATGCGGCCTTCGCGCTGAAACAGTTGTAAGACACTTGATTTGCTAATTACACAGTCTGGACCTCTCGGATTGTGATAAAATTAGTATTTAGAGGGTAAAATTCCTTTTAGAAGCTTATAATTTCATGCGGCATCCATCCAATGAAAATCCGTATCCACGTTCATGAATTCCTGCGTTTTGTGGAATAGACCTATAGCTTAAAAAGAGCCAACAGCTTTAGCTGCAGTGTTTAATGTACAGACAAATACCTTTTATTGGTCCTGCTGAAGAAAGCCTGTCTGTACCAAACCTACGGATCCAGAGTAACGTTTGGAGAAAACCATCTATTTTGTCTTTCTTTGATTTAGCTCCTTTGGTTTTGCAAAGATTTAGCAGATTCAAGAATGCATAAAACAAATGTTTTATGCAGCTCCTTCACACCTGCCTTTTATCTCTCCTTATTTCAAACGAATAAACAGACCAGGACGCCTTTTTTCCCGTTCTTTTTCCTTTTTGTGGACATAAATCTCTGGTGGCCTCGAACAGCAGTTGGAGCACCAGCAAATGGACCCGGAGCCGCTTTCGGCTGTGCTCACTCAAGCACAGTGTAAAAATAGGAGGAAAACAACGACAGTTTGTTGTGGGGAATTCATTTCCCCCTCAGTCCTGCCCAGGAGCCCAGGAGGATATTAGATTATGAGCCACATCGAGCCTGTTGTGCCGAAAGGGGTCGTGAGCAGCCTGGAAGGGGCGCGGCCGCCGTCCATTAGCGGCGCTGAACCCTTACCTTTGACCCCATGGCATCCTCGTTGATTGGGCCTAAAAAGTGTCCATCACCCCCCTGATGAGAGACAATGAGCGGTTAGTTAGCAATCTGTTCATTGTTAAAATGTTTCACCGACTGAAGAAAAATAACTGCACTAAGCAGCGGATCCAAAGGGCGGATCGCACTTTTTCTTTCATCTTAAAATTAGAGCGCCGAGTTGTGTTTAATTAGGGTGTCAAATCCCGGCAATTAATTCACAATTACATGAGTTAGCGTGTAATAAATTCAAATGAAAAGGAAAATGCATGAATCATGGAATAAGGATCATGGACTTGTAATTAAAGCTGTTAGAGCGCTTTGTCTCTGCCTGGAACTTTCTTTTCATTCAAAATAAAAGCCACAATATTTGACGCGATTGAATCTATTGAAATGCACGACTATCAAATGGGCTCCGCATGGCGACATCACACCAAAAGTTCACATGAGACTTCTTCATCTTTTATTTTCGCACAACAGCAGACAGTTTAAGCAGAGGGAAAACGTGCAGTGCACTTTGCAATGTGAGACGATAGAGACTCCGGAGGGATTCGGTTCACCGCTGCGCTTTTACCGCTTTTGTCAGCTGGATAATGAAGATCTGACGCTGTGAATGCTCGAACACCATCGAAGCACCCAGGTGTTAAAAAAAAGACAACGCTCATTTATTTCCTCCTTCGCTGAGATGCCCAACGACAGCATGGCATTCAGACCGTACACAGTATGTGCCCCCCCCCCCCCCCCCCCCCGAACAGGCAACAAAACGAAGCAGTTGGAACATTTAGAATCATCGTGTGAGGGGTCAAATGCAAACAAAGATGCATCTTCTGGGAATGCAACTGAAAACGGGCTGGAAACCATTGCTGTGTGTGCGTGTGTGTGTGTGTGTGTGTGTGTGTGTGTGTGTGTGTGTGCGTTTGTGTGTGTGTGTGTGTGCGTGTGTGTGTGTGTGTGTGTGTGTGCGTGTGTGTGTGTGCGTGTGTGTGTGTGTGTGTGTGTGTGTGCGTGCATGTGTGCGTGTGTGTGTGTGCGTGTGTGTGTGTGTGTGTGTGTGTGCGTGTGTGTGTGCTGGAATAACAATCTGGGCGTAGCCTGCTGCTCCAGTAGCTCCAGCCTTACGTGTGTGAAACTGGTTTGTTAATTGAAACCTTTTTTTCTACAAACAGGCGGAATAAAAGCACAGCGTTGACATGAAAAGGGACCTTATAACACTTTCTGCTCCATCTCCACATTTTAAATGAATAGACATTTTGGAAAGTACGGTACAATACAAAAACGTTGTTTATCTCTACTGTGATGGAGCAGTTAGCTTAGCCGAGCATACGGACACAAGCCAGTTTAAAGGATTAAAAACCTTTTTTATTTTTTGCTTAATGTGTACAAAATCTGCAATGTCAAAAACTAACGCTTTACAGGTCACTTATTGAATTTGAGGCTCCCCTGGTTGCCTAGTAACTGCTTCCAACAAAAACAAAAAGTACCTAACCCGTCGTAAAACAGCAAATTGTTGTTTTTAAGCTTCGGCGATTTAACGATCCAGATATGAAGTGAGCATCGGATGTGCCATGAGACATCTTTTGTTACCTTTGGAGCGTTTCAGGCCAGATGTTTGTGGTTGCTAAGCTAAGGCTACGCAGCGGCGCGTCGACCACACAGACGTAACAGGTTCATCGCCTCGTCTAACTCACCACTTGAGGCTCTGTCTGGAAAAAAGGATCCCTTGTTTCTAAATGCCGTTTTAAACCCTTCATTATGTCAGCGTAAGTGTTTACGCGTGTTAAATATTTCTCAATTAAATATGTTGCCACAGCAAATCCGTGCACGAGTAGTATTTTGTACAAAAACTGACGTAGAAGCTGTTTGCAGAGATTGAGATTGAAATCAGTCGCCCGGGAAGCCATTTTTGCCGCGGAGCCTCCAAGCAGGTGAATGAAATGAAATGTGTTCCATGTGTGTTTCTTTTGCGGAGCTCGCTAATGATCAAACACCATAAAGCGTTACAGCACACATCGGTATTAGTAAAAGAGAGGCGGTGCTCCTTTTTCAGACCTTGTGGAGACACCCAGTAGGCTGTTAAGAGCCGGGACTGAATTACAACAGGACAATGAGACAAAAACTGTAACAGACAAAAGAAGCTTCTTCTTTCTTTCTTTTTTAATCACTTTGATAATTCCTTTGAGATTGTCACGGCGGTGCAGCCATTCGCCTTCAGATTCAGAAGGACTTTCTCCAGGACTTGCACATGATCTTTTGGAAGGCTCGTCTGAAGTCCCGGTTGAAGATGGTGTAGATGGCCGGGTTTAGGGAGCTGTTGCAGTAGCCGATCCAGAAGAAGAATTTGAAGAGCGGGTCGGGGATCTTACACGAGTCCCTGCACACACCGTACAGGCTGTAGCTGAAGAAAAAGGGGAACCAGCACACAACAAACACCCCCATGACCACAGCCAAGACGAACGTGAACCTCTTCTCCCTGGCTTGAGAGGCCTTTTTCCGGGCCAAAGAGCCCCGGCGGCGTTTCCTCCTGGAGGTGAAGAGGTCCATGGATTTGTTGCTGACTCTGGAGATGCGAGTGGACTGCTTGGAGAGAGCGCTCCTCTCGTGGCCGGCCCTCTTGGCCGCCGTGGAGTCGTCCTGTTTGGTCTTGTGACCTTTGCCCTCAGAGGAGGAGCTCTCCATGTCAGCATCGTCCGTCTGTTGCCCGCCGGTGGCGGTGCGTTGGCTGGGCGTAGGCGGGTACTGGCAGTGTCCGTTCTCTCTCTCGCCCTGGAAAGGGGAGCTGGCTTTGCTCAGCCCATTCTCAGTTTGCGTGACACCATCCGGCCTGGGCTTTTTACCCGACATGGTTCTGGTTCTGGTCTTGGCCACCTGGTATATTCTGATGTACACCAGCACCATGATTAAGCACGGCGCGAAGAAGGACGCGATGCTGGAGGAGAGGATGTACCAGGTGTCGTCGTTCAGCGCGCACTGAGGCTGAGAGCCGATAGTAGAGCTGCTGTCGATAGACAAGAGCGGCGGGGACGAGATGAAAGCAGATATCAGCCACACGATTAAGATGATGCACTTGACGCGCTTGGGGGTCCGCTTCAGGTTGTACTCGACCGCCTGCGTAACGGACCAGTAGCGGTCCAGGCTTATTGCGCACAGATGGACAATAGAGGAGGTGCAGAACAGAACATCCAAAGCCAGATAAATACCGCACCAAACATTTCCAAAATACCAGTAGCCCATAAGTTCATTCGCCAGGGAAAACGGCATCACCAGAGTGGCGACCAGGATGTCCGCGGTGGCCAGAGACACCAGAAAAAGGTTCTGCGGGGCTTTCAGCGCCCTGCTCGTCAGCACCGCGATAACCACCAGAATATTCCCAACGACGGTGAAGAGAATGAGGAAACTCACAAGAGCGGCGATGCTGGCTATCGCCCCTATAGAATATCCGCTGTCCAGACTCCAGGAGGAATTCAGATGGATCACCGCGAACGCGTCCATCCCGCTGGCGTTAAAGGAATCCATGGCGGCGGTGCGTGCGCTCTATGTACATCCCGGAGTGGCGGAATCTGGGCAAAAACAATTCACGTTCAGCCCTACAATGACCGTGGAGTCCATCCAAACGCGCAGCTCCGCGGCCAATTCGCTAATCTGACGACATGGCGACGCGCGCAGGAACAGAGCCCCTCTTTGGGGGTTTATTCGTAGACAGTTGATCATTATTCGAGATAACTTACTTAAAGGGACAACAAACTGCTCCTCCGCACTCTTGCCAACGCGTGGTCGCGCGTCTCCGGATGGTCAGGAGTGGAGTGGCGTCCAGCCGCGGCTGCGCGTCCCCAGTGCGCTCCCGCGCCTTAGTGATGCTCCATGTGTTGTTCTCACCAAACATCGCGCGCCGCTGCCCCACCCGCGCCACGCGGGATTACTTTCATATTTGTTAGGATAAGGCCCATAGGACAAAACCTGAACATATATATTTCTAGATTGTATGTTTCCAAACACATTATGTTCTTTTAACAAAAAAAAACGATGTGTCCAGTGGATGCTGCTGCTCAAGGATGTTCGTGCCCTACGACTTAAATCCAAGCCTGCCAGAGGATTTTTGTTGGGGAGTCGTGTGTTGGTAAGTAAGCAGCCTTGAAGAGGAGTGTGTGAATGAGTCGTGTTGGAGTGTGAGGTGGGGGAGGTGAGGGAGGGTGAACACATTGAGGGAGTTGAGCTCATGAGCAATCGAATCGGATGCGCACATTTGTTTTGTCGGTTTGTTTTGTCAACACACAAATAATAGCACCGGACAGCTGTTCTCCAGCAGAGCCCGGTGCACAGTGCACATGTGATGGAAGTCAAGAAACCCCCAGTACACCTAAAATGTGCACTATAAAGTTCACATTTGAAAATGCCTTTCACTCTTCAAGGGATGATCTTTGATTCATGGACATCTCAATCAAATTCACCATCATTTTGTCCTGGATTTGAGACGACAAAGCCTTAGTAACGTGAGAAATGATCAGTGTTAATATTCACCCACATGAACAACTTAAAGGAATATATGGATATGAAATATTCAGATATTTGGCCTCAGCTTTGTTTGTGCTCGGCTGCGTGTCGTCCTCTGCAAGTTGAGGCAAGTCAAGAACATTTCAAGTGATGCAATTAATCAATAACTACAGTGAGACTAAACATAAAACGTTTTCTTACGGGATAATTCCTTTTTAATGGATGATTTCAAAGTAGTTATTGAGCCCTCATAACGCAGTCCTATTGAGTCTTTTTATAAAAGATATCTGAGACGACGCTCACAGGATTTATGTGACCTTCTGCTGCTGTCAGCTTCAGACGATGGAGAACACGTAGTTCTAGAAAAGCATCTCTGTAATCTCTCATGAGAACTTCCATCCCCACTAAGTCAACAAAATCAAGGCTTTACTTCTTTCAAAAAGCACGAGTCATCTTCTTCTTCTTTTTTTCCCCCCCCATATCTTTCTTTGCTTCGTAAATCCTTTGTGATACGAGCTGCTGTAGCAGAGTCCAGCAGTTCAATATCCGTTACGTCATCCTGGTTCTCCGCGGAGTTGAACCGGTGACCTTTCAGTTAGGCGCCCGCCTCCCTCGTTCTCCTCCGGCTGCTAGCAGCCTCCGACTCACCGCAGCAGAGGACCTCGTGTTGCCAACTGACACTAATAAACTAACCCGGCATGAGGTAAGACGTCTCTGCGAGAGGAGAGGAGAGGAGGAGAGGAGGAGAGGAGAGGAGGAGACAGTGAATTGATTAGTGGGGACCTGCAGAGTTTAAGATGTGTTGCATGTCCAGACCATTCATGTTCGTTTTTATAGAGCTCAACGATGGGAACTGATGCATCGACTTTTAAGCACATAGTCATCTGCTCCTAATGGGGTCGACTGTCAAGTGACTGTCACCACCAAAGGAATTGTGCTTTTCTTTATTCTCTCCTGTACAAGCTTGGTCTGATAGGTCGCCGTTTACTGATTGGCTTACCTGGATTACCTGCTTTAGATGTTTGTCTTTTCATACAGATGTCTCCGTATGTGCAGGGCACTCGGTTGATTTTCAAAGTCAGTACACAGGTCCTATGAAACACGTGAAGGACTTGTATAAAACCTTGTGTGGCTGTACAGATAAGCTACGTGTGCAACGTCACGCATGTGCACAAGGTGAGCAAACCTATTTCTTCAATAGAAAAGAAGAGTAAAACCAGTTGTAAGGCATGGGGTCAGAGGAGGTGAGTAGAAGAGGTCTGTGACGTTAATGGATATGTCAATAGTGGAAACAGAGAGATCCTCATTACCTGAATCCTTAGAAACGTGATAAGAAAAACGTTTTTTTTTTTCTACTTTAAAAGAAGGGCAACGTTTCCTCCACCTTCATGGAAACGTGGCGCATCAGCACGCTGGCTGCCTACAACGCCTGCAGCTGGAATAAAGAAGAGCAGGTTTACGGAGGCAGCAGAGCTGAGCAGCCAGTCCAGGAGAGCTGAATAAACAACCCGTCTTTGCACAGCGCTGCCGAGGGGTGAGTGGCGTGCTGTTAATTGAGCACAAAGCGCACTGGCAAGGCAAGACAAGGAAATGGGAGAGGGGGGGGGGGCAGTCACCCCTTTTGAACCCTTTTGTTCCCTGATCCTTACGGGGGAGTGAAGCATTACCCTCCTCATTAGACATTTATTTGCAGGTAATATTTATACATCTCATTTACATATTTGGTGTTCGACAATGTGAACCTTCACTTCACTTCGTCCTGAGGGAGATGCACAATGAATGGGACTTGTTTTTTATATATATATATATATATATATATATATATATATATATATATCGAAGCTCTCACGGTGGCGTGGTGGTTAGCACTGTTGCCTCACAGCAAGAAGGTCCTGGGTTCGATTCCGCCCAGTGGCCTTTCTGTGTGGAGTCTGCATGTTCTCCCCGTGTCTGCGTGGGTTCTCTCCGGGTTCTCCGGCTTCCTCCCACAGTCCAAAGACATGCTCTGGGGATCAGGTCAATTGGGGACTTTAAATTGCCCGTAGATGTGTGAATGTGAGTGTGAATGGTTGTCTGTCTCTGTGTGGCCCTGCGATTGGCTGGCGACCAGTCCAGGATGTACCCTGTCTATCGCCCCAAGTTGGCTGGGATGGACTCCAGCCCCCCCGCGACCCTGTGTGCAGGATAAGCGGTTTGACAATGGATGGATGGATGGATATATATATATCGACTTTGGCGGTTTCTCCTTAAAGCAAATTATTGCCATTAATGTAATGACTGGTGTTAGGAGCCAACCCTCACAGATTGTTGGCTCAGTGCCTGTGGTTTCTTATTGGTTTGGTATATTGAGGCCTCAAGTCTTCTCCCACATGATGTAGTATTGCACCACACGAGCAGCTCACATTGAGGATAAATTACGTTAAGAAATGAACGTTCCAAGCGCACCAAGGATTGTATTGAGGTGCAGATCCTCTTTTATTCGGACGTGTTTTTCTTGAAGATCTTGCAAACAGGTGTTTTCCTGTTGGTGCTGTAAACCCGAGTGATACAATGCAACCAAGGTTGAAAAGGCACAGCGTTATTGATCAGCCGAAAAAAGAACTTCCCCAACCGTTTGGCTTTAATGGCTCTATTTGTCAGCCGGAGTTCAGAGAAGGGTACGATCCTTTTTCCATGGGGAAAACAGAAGGCGGCCGGTGAGGCTTTGGGCGAGGGGCAGATAAACCATTAGACAGAACGGGTTTGATAGACTGATGACAATTTTATGACTTGATTTTCTCCCTGAAGCTTTACCACAAACATCCTGAACAGTGTCACTATACAACGGCAAATGTATTGTTTTCATACATCTATAAATAATACAGTCCATTGTTAACCGTAACCTTGGAAACATCGGCCTAATATCCTACTGAATCAGTCTCTTCGCTCTTATTATTCCGCTTCAGTAGTGGAACGCTGCACCAGGTGCATATTATTGATCTTCTTTCTTGATTCACAGTAAAATAATCCATATCCATGTTTACGACTGCAGGCCCACACGCTAATAAGTTCTATAAATGAAATGTAAACCCCGCTTTGTCCACAGTTTCTAGTCCGATATAGTAGTTTGTCAGCAGGATTGCAGTGAAATCCGCAGGTCTGAACAAAGAACCCAACATTTATTTTTCTTGTTAAGAGTTGGAGTAAAGCCCTAATAGCAAACACCCACATATGACGTGAGAGCTAAACTTCTTCTGGGTGTCACTGCATATTACAATATGATATCTAGAAATAAACTAAACTAAAACAAACATGTGGCGATTGACAGCCACATGTTTGCACTCAGCGTTGACACTTGAACGTGAAATAAAATCCATGTCAGCTTCAGGGGCAGATGTTGCAGCAGCTGTCAGAGCTTCACATTTTAGAGTCCTGTCCCCAAGAAGCGGGCGTTGGACACGGAGCCTCTGCGAGGGTTCACTTCTAAAGGTACAGTGTGTTATTTAGGTCAATCCATTGACAGCAATGGAATAAAACATCATTAAGTATGTTTTCGTTGAATGAGATGATTATATCTTTCTACTTAGTGGGTCCTCTTCAGCCCCGAGAGGACAAACCAAACATTTGTCCTTGTATTGCCTGAAGTATTTCTTTATTTCTCTGAAGTGAAACTATAAAATGTGACCTCGTGGACAGACTGTTCCTCTCCTTCCATCACAGAATGTTTTGGTGCTTTTGCATTGCAAGTTGAGTGAATCAACAGGTTATTCTTTCAAACCCTTAGAACCAGATCTTTTGATTTCCATAATTGGAATATCAGGTAGAAATAAATGTATAAATTATCTATTGACCTTGAACAAATCGGCGAAAACTGTCACCGGCAGAAGCTCTCACACACAAACATAACAACCTCTCCAGCGAAGACACATTTCACCACACGACCGCGTCTCTGAGAAACGCTATATTTGAATCATTCATATCTGTCGGCGAATGCGATTCTGGATGATGGACGGGCCGGCCGCCCAGCAGCCTGTGAAGACAATAAGCGATGGAGGGGGGGGGATTGAATGCATCGTTGCAGGCCGCTCATGCTCTTTGATGTCTGTTTCAACCCAGCAGTGTCACATACGATCCCAAAACACACCGGTGCTTGGCTCAGCATCCACTTTCACATTAGCACGAAATGAAGTCCACTTCTTTCCTTGTGTTAAATGTCCCTTGGGGGCCTGTTAAGACGTGAACCTGGATTCTAATTGTTTAAGACGGACTTGGAGAGATTGTGCTGGGAAACATGGGAGGAAATGACTGATGAATGAAACGAGCACCTCCATCCTCATTCATAGAGTGACGCATAAGCTCAGTGATGTATAAGAGAGGAAAGTACCACCCTGTGCTTTCCTTTTAACAGCAGCTTGCTCTCGCCGAAGAACTATCAGCCACAAAGTCTTTCAAGACTGATAAATTGTCAAAGGCGCATGCACCACCCGAGGCGGATGCGTGACATTGATATATTGAATTCGTTTTATGACAAATTCGCTGACACAACAAAAGGCTTAAACGCGGCAATGTCAACGTCTTCGCATCTTTTCGCTGTTTGACCAACAGTCCAAAACATGAGGACAGTTATTTTACTTTGAGGGCAGAATGAAAGAGCAGAGCTTCACATGTGGGAGTCTCTTTCTCTAT